TGTTTCTGTTTCTGAAAACATGGATATCTTTTACCTGCATCACAAAGTCAGATGATAGATATCAGAGAATAGACTAATATAGATCTATCATTCTGAAGAAATTCATCAGAGTGAATATCTCTATAATATTGAACTTTACAGTTATAAAAAGCTTCTTAATATCTGTGAATACTATGACTTTATACACAGTAAAACTCATAATAATTTCCTCTAAGAACAGAAAAATCAGTATCAGAAAGAAAAGATGAAAAAGAAAAAGACTTATAATCTTAATACTATTGAGAGAGAGAGTGATTCTCTGAAATGAATGAATAATTATTTTATTATGAATATTTAAAATGAATGTAATAATCAGTGTCTGTGACTGAACTTCAGATAGTCATGTTATACACTGTCTTTGTACAATAAATTGTTCTAAGAATTAATAAGAAGAGTGAAAGTATATGTACTGAGAAATATGATTCACTGAGTCTATACAATATCTTCTTGAAACAGAGAGAGCTGATAAGAAAGACAGAGACAGTAAAACCAGAAGTAGTAAGAGTAGAGATTGCAGAAACAGAGATAGCAGAAGCAGGGAAATCAGATACAGAGATAAGTGTAGAAGATTGAAAGAGAGTAGTAGAAAAAGAAGTAGTAGAAGAGACAGAGAGAGATACTGAAGACTCAGCTACATATAACACAGACAATTTCTTTATTATTGCATTCTTCAAGTTCTTAATCAATGATTTAACACTGAGTTTACTATTATTAATGAATGTGAATCTGTCAACATGTGAAGATTCTACATGAATAAAAATAAACATCAGCATCTGTGTCTATGTAAAATTATGCTAGAAAACACAATCAGAAACTCACTGAGAAGAAGAAACAGTCAAGAGTGTATAAGAAGATGAAGAAGATATGTCATTATTCATGATAATATATTATTCTGACAATTATTAGAAGATAAACAAGTTCTGATCATGTTTCATAATGTGTTACACTTACTGCTAATAAACTGCCTGATATGAGCACTATAATGACACTTGTTGTGAAAATGAGAGGTCATTGCCAGAAATGCATATAATGTAATAGATGAACAGATAGAAAGAGTTGAACAGAAGAAGAAGTAGAAATCTTGAATGATGATGATGTTTAATGATGATGAAATGAAGAAGATGATTGAAGAATGAGAAAAGTTAGTGAATGAGTGATGTAATATAGTGGAAGTTTCTTTGTGAGAGTGTACACAGAATGCTAGCTGAATCAGGAATAGGTCACACAATCGCGAAACACTAGTGGTGAGCTAATCCACATGAAGCTAGGGTGTATGACATGGTCACATGGGTGTGACTGAATCTGGTGAGGGAGGATGTGGTTTGGAAGAATGTATGACTGTTGGATAATACCGCGGCCGCTTCCGAACTACTAGTGTACGCGTATGAGTGTAAAGGGGCCATAGCGGCCGCTAATTAAATTAGTGTACGAGATTCAATATATAAGAAGCCGGCGTACGCCTGTAATCATACGCTGGCTTAAGCAACCTTTGAATCACACTTTCATGATGTGTATTTAATTCTGCCTGAATCATGCTACTCTTGAAAATCTTGTTTAACTGTCTTATCAAATCAGATATAAGAGTATTCTTCACATCTTCTAAGGTCTTGACTGCTGTATTGATTTAATGATATAGTTTTACAATCATCTCTGAGAAGATTAATTATAAGAAGACAGTTAATAGTTGATCTGCAGATGACAGAGTAAAGTGATTACATATATTATCATCATCATTATATATATTGAGATTCAAGGCATTATTTTAGATTCATGAGTTTTTACTTGACTTATTTGTAATCTGACAGGTATTTGATGAATCAATATATTCATATCTTACTTACTGTGAGAGATGCAGTCTCTGAATCTGTATAATACTGTCTTAACATGCAGTTTACAGCAGCTTTAATATACTTGATAATGAATAAATAAAAATTAATATTCAACTGATGAATTCATATCTTAATTATCTCTTTCTGACTGTCATTTAATACTTGATTCAGTGAAATTCTCATAGTTCTTGATTTCCTCTCATTGATTCTCTCATATAAGATGATATATAAGACTTTGAATTCTTATGATAGAGATGTGATTTTTAATTTTGAATTACTTTTATATATGTTAACAGCTCTTTACAACTGCTTCTCAGTGTAATTAGAAGATTTAGATATGATTATAATTAATGATGATTATTTAAAGATAAAGAATGAAGATATTGAAAATATTTTCTTTACAGTATGGTTTTCTGTACACTGTGGTGCACTCACTACAGAGAGTGAGTAAGCATGGCACGGTTAGTAGTCTCTTGTCCAGCCTCATCCCGATAAGTTACAGTAGTTACCGGGGCGTGGAAATTACAAGATCTCCGCAAACGCCTTTAACCAATCTGTTCTGTTTTGGTGATTCCTCCAACGACCCTAGAAGGACTGTTGTCTTTGAATTTGAACATTAGTCATTATGCCTTGCCCATTCATCTAAATGAACTTCTATTCGAGACCTGTGGCCAACAGGAAGTCATCCCGCAGCTTCATGTAACACCCGCTTGACATAAGTCGATAGAAAGTATTCCATGCTGCCTCAGGGCCACCAACGGAGAGTGAATCCTTTCTCTATTGGAAGCTTCGAAATGTGCAACTGTGGCTGCTGCCTTTTCATCTTAAAACACCTGGTTGGTTAGCTATTCTTTAACTATACTGAGGGTACGGTACGGTGAAGTTACAGAGCATTTGCCCCCCTGGAATCTGCCCCAGCACAGTACCTAGGCAGTCGTCATGCTGCCCTACCCTACCACATGGTGAACTACCGAATCAGAAAATGAGACTACGGAGTAGTTCTAGTGTTGATGGGCGGTGCTGGGAATGACGTTTTGCTTTTTGTTTTCCTCATGATTGGGTTCGTTAGTTATCTAGTTAAAGAAATGGAGATTTGATTATGTTTAGGCGTGTATGTGCGCCCCTAAACAGAATCAAACGCCCAGTTGAACCCTTTAACTAACAAATTAACTATAGATTACTGTATAGTAACATACTCCGTACAAACTACAGTATCGCCCGGAATTTCGCGCTTCAGCCATTGGAACTGCTTTTGCTATGTTCGGGGCCAGAGTGTGTAATCAACCAGCTTTCGGTGGAAGCAAACATGACCTCTGCTTCTATTATTGTTAAATATTGGTATAGAAGGCTGACTGCTTTGATGGCGAAGAAACATTCGGGAATTCCGATTCAACTCACCATCTTAATGGATATTCTCTGGCCGCCATCTCCCGAAATTATGTAGATGATTTAATAGGAACAATGTCATTGGCGTGCTCGAGTGCTTGAGTGGATAAAATAGGGTAACTATACTTAGCAAACACCGACTTATCCACGAGGAATATCTCCAGGAAGTGGTCAAGCGCATCTTTTCATGGTCAAGGGGATGATCCACAATAAAAACTCCCCTCAACAAAAACACGCTCTCTCCAGGCTCAGATCTGCACTCTGCTGCACGAGAAGTTATGTGCTTCGGAACCCAATGCAGGGACCCGTCCTGATGTGACTGACGTCTGTTGAACCCTCCATTTCTAGATTTCTAGTCAGCTAAGACCCATCCCGCACTCTGATTGCTGGCCTTGTTTGACCAGCTTTCCTTGAACTATTTAGGCACTTCTTTGTAGCCCACCCCAACCGAACGTTGGGCGATTAGATAGTTCAGTCTCCTTGCATGCCCAAATCAAGAGCTGCTCCCCCGCCGTCCTCGTAGCGCAAGGGCTGTTGGACGTGGCACCTGTCACAGCGGGCTGATGAGCTGTCAGTTCTGACCTGCTGGACTTCTTTAACGCGTGTGTTTCCGCTTGTTTGTTATTCCGCTTCTTGACTCTCTTTCTTTCTCCTCACCGATTCACTTCGTTTCCTCCCTCCCACCTTTTGTTCACCGCTTCTCCTGGACGCTTCGCCTCGGTGTGGACAAGAATGAGAGTCTGGGGAGTCTGAGCCCAAGGCATCGAATTATTCACCTCCCTCTGCCTAACGGCTTTAGCTAGATATTACCAGATGAATCAGGTAACGAACCTAAAAGAGAATGTGGCTTGGAAGGAAGACAGAAAGAAAGAAAGAGAAGAGGTTGTATCATGTCTGTGGATTTCAGGGATTAGACGGCAGCCCCGAGATCCATGTTGAAGCAAAGCAGGCAGGGAAAAAACAAGCCATAACAAAGAAAATTGAAGGATGATTGATGGGCAACAGAGGCAGCAAAGGCCGAGTGGAGGATGGGATGGAACGAGGCGAATGATGCAACACGATATCTTCACCCGTCCTGGTCCCCCGCTCAACAAGGGAATAATACTTCATAGATATCCTCCTACCCCAAACTGGACTCCCACCAAAAACCCCCGGAAACCTGGTGATACACCCCGGATGACCATTTTCCTTTATTGTTTTTGACTAACATTTCACTGTTTGCCTGTTCTACTCTGTCATTTAGTCTTGCCTTGTCAAGGCATCCAATCGCAGATCTCCGTGCGCTGCGTGTTTTTCTTGGTCGATATAGTACATGTACATGTACATGTACATTACCTTGCTTGTTATTGTCGCTTTGTTTGGCCTCACTGCAGTGATGAGGCTCTCAGCCCTGACTTTTCTCTGTTGTGCTCCCCGGGCGTTGTTGAATTAGACTGAAGAAGACTTTGTTCCTTTCTTTGCATAGAGGTTAGTGTACTATAGATTTCCCACTTATTTTCAGGGTGATATACGACCTGCCACATGCCACAATTGCGCTGCGTGATTCCTTTTGTAGTGATGGTTTGTTCGAAAGACTTCGTGCGCTAACATGGAGGAGGTGAAATGAAGTACTTAGGGTTTTGGCCTTTTTATTCTTCTCCTTGCAATACGTTGCTCTTATTAGGGCTTTCTCTGATGGTGAGATCGGTAGATGGTTTTTGCACTGGACAGTTGGAAACAAATAACCCTTTTTTTGTGAGATAATACGTTTTTACTTTCAAATTTGAGCTCCCGATTCTGCTGTAGTTTATTGGTATAATACCAGCCCTTCGACTATTATCTTGTAGATAAGGAAATGAAACCGTAACCACGAAGTTGTAGCTAGTCGTTTACAGCAATTTTGATACTGGAGTTCCTCCTTATGCCAGTTCTATTTCTTGCGGTAACCTCACAGGAATTATACAATTTGCTAAAGTAAATTATATGGATGTCTATCAAATTTGTCTACATTCATTGTCTGAAGATTACCGCTGGTAAAACTCCTTGCTATGATTGATATGATGATAGGCTACGCGACCATTCTTTCCGATGGTTAAAACGTTATCTTATTGCTTTGTGATTAAAATCCAGCTTTGAATTTTACGGATATAGAGCTTAGTATCCGGCGATACGAATGTTATTGCAAAGTGTTAAATATGATAGATATATCATCGTTGCCGCCATGGAAAATGAAGTTAGCTGTTGAAGGCTGCGAGTGGTTCCTCGAGTGCAAGCCGGAAGTATTCAGTATTAGCCGTAATATTGTCGAATATACAAGTATGCCGCTTCAGGGCTATCAATTTGAAGCCCTGGGTGGGGCCCCTCAATCTGCTCGACAGTCGACCTGACGTTATCCAAGCGTGATTCGTCATATTCATTGGTTGCAAAGGGGTCTGCGCCCGTTTCCATGAGTAGCAAAACAGCATCAGTGTTCCGGTCGTTTGCAGCAATATGGAGCGGTGTCTCGCCTGAGTGACCCTCATGAGGGTTTTAAGTCGGCACCCTTGCTAATAAGTGCGGCTGCGATATCAATTTTCCTTGCTTCGACGGCGATATGGAGGGGCGTCAAGGGACCTGGATCTGTGGCGTTGATATCCGCACCTGCGTCATCAAAGAGACGATTTAAAATCCCGAGGTGGCCTATAGTACAAGCGCCATGGATCGCCATCTCGCCAGCACAGTCACGTAGGAGTGGATTCGCGCCATTGTCCAGAAGAAGCTGGACGATCTCTTCATGCCCAGAATCAACGGCACGGTGAAGAGCATGATAACGCTCTTCGTCTGCTGCTATATTGGGGTCCGCGCCGTGTTTCAGGAGGAGTTCAACAATATGTACATGGCCTGCACTGACAGCGAGGTCGAGCGGATACACGCCATTTCGATCGGAGGAAGAGCTTGCGCCTGCGCTGATGAGTTGCTGAATAACTTGAACGTTACCTTTCTCCACCGCTCTGTGCAAGATCAGGGGGTTTGTTGTGCTCTGGGGCAGCGAGAACTGGTTGCCGTTCGCTCGGAGGAGAATATCAAATGTTTCTTGATTAGCCTCACACGCTGCGTGGTGCAATGCTGTCCATCCATTGTGATCACAGAGGGCACGGTCAATCCCCTTTGACAGGAGATACTCTAGTAGCTCATGTTGGCCAGCAATCGCTCCAACATGGACTAAGGACCGCCCATTAGAATCTATAACGTTGAGTTCAGCTCCAGCGGCAAGAAGAATATCCACGACTTCCCTGTGGCCCGAGTAAACAGCGTGGTGGAGTGCCGTGAATCCTGCCAAGTGTTGGATGGCGATGTCGACGACGCCGCTATCAAGAAGCGCTTTGAGCTCTGTAGTATAGCCCTTCTCGCATAGTGCGTGGAGTATAGACATGCCTCTCACATCGAGTAGAGACGGATCAACACCTAAAGAAGCAAATAACTTTACCACCTCAGCGTTGCCTCCACTGGGTGCTGGAATAGCAATTACCGAGCCAGAAGTACTATCGTAAATGTCCGGCACCGTAGTATTGAAGAGCACAGTCCGTCGATGCACATCGATAGTCGAAATATCTGCCCCCTCTTTCATAAGAAATTCTACCATCTCCTTATGCCCCCCGGCGGCCGCGTAGTGGATCGATGAACGCCCAAAGGGTGAGTCTCCTTGCGAGACAGCAACCCCCGCATCCACCAACAAGCGCGCCATTTCCATGTCTCCTCGTGCAGCGACCATATCCATGGCATTGTATCCGCGGCGTTGAAGAGCGGCGGCATCAACGCCTAGTTCCAGGAGATACTTCACGACTGGAAAGTGGCTTGTACAGGCAGCTTTGTGAAAGGGGATTTTTCCATCCCTGTCCGCCTGTAAACGGCCACCTGACTTTTTCAAACAGTAGTTCCACAGTTGACTTCAAGCCTTGCTCGGTAGCTAACTGGAGCGAATATCTGTAGTTTAGAAACGAGAACGTTTTCTCCGGAGCCTGCTTCAACAGGGTATCTGCGAGGCGTGCGAGCCCTCTTTTGGCTGCCCATTCGAGAACTGTTTGATGTGCTTTGACAAAACCACCTCTTGCTATGGGGCGAAGATACAGTATATCTTTATTGCGATAGACATGCTTGACAGCAGCTTTATGGATTCTTGGAATGGCTATGTTATAGAAGACGCGTGCTGTTTGGGAGAAACTAATGAGATCTCCTAGTTTGAGATAGAAGTTTATTTCACGAATCAACTCGGTGGGAAGGGTGGATAGAGAGATTGGGCATAATGGGATGGATGCATGGTTATAAGGTCATGCTGCCGGCAACATGGAAAGGGGTGCTGCCTGATGGTGATGCCTAGGCTCGTCATTGCCAATGGGGTTCTGACTGTGTTAAGATAGAGTGCTTAGAATCATGTCATGAGCATGGCGAACTATATTGTTCGAGCGGCTAATAATTTATGCTGATCACTATCGTAGCAAGACTCTATCATAGTTAATCATAGAGTACTCCAAACGAGGGCGGATGTTAGTACTGTAACTTACACGTAGGCTGTAAGTCCGCACGCTAAATATTTAGGTCCGCAGTAACTATTCTGTGCATCAACCCAACTCCGGGGCTTCAACGATAGCTACAGCTTTCAATACCACCCACCGCCTGGAGACGTAACCAATCATAAAGATAAAGAAAATAATAATAACGAATGCAATGCGTGTCCAATCCCTCGTCACGTTTCTCTCCCTCTCCCTCTTTTCCCTCACCACCTTCGTCGTCGCCGAAGAGAGCGGACTCAAAATCGAGAAGACACATACCGTCGAATGCGAGCGCCGCACCACAGTTGGTGATGTCGTCTCAATGCACTATCGCGGCACCTTAGCCTCAGATGGCTCCCAGTTCGACGCCAGCTACGACCGCGGCCAGCCCTTGGTGTTTACCGTTGGCAAGGGGCAAGTGATCAAGGGGTGTGTATTCCGTTTTGTTTAAATCTTTCCTTTTTCCCTTCCCAACTTGCTGTACTTTTTTAAAACAAAACGGTAGCTAATCTGTGTGCTTCTCTGTCTAGATGGGACCAAGGCCTCCTTGACATGTGCGTTGGCGATAAGCGCAAACTCACCATTCCCCCCGGACTGGCCTACGGTGACCGCAGCGTCGGACCCATCCCAGGCAGGGCCACCTTGATCTTTGAGACGGAGCTGGTGAACATCCAAGGTACGGCAAAGGATGAGCTTTGAAGTATGTTCTTCTTCTTTTTGGCCGTCCGCTTTCTGCCCGTCCTTCTTTCTACCCGTCCCACAACATCTCCCCCCCTCTTTTACACCATACCTACCGTGCGGATAAAAACACCAGCAAGGCGAATGCTTATTCTGCGGATTTTTTACGCATTTCTGTAGACGCTGGCGCCGGAAGTAGTAGTCGTGGTGGTTTGTTCCTGTGGTTTCTGGTTGTTCTTGCGCTGGGAGGAGGAGTTGCTTACTGGAAACGGTACGGGTTTGGTGGGATGTCCGCCCGCCGGGTTTAGAGCCGGGTGTGACAACTCCTTAAGGGCTATTTTCTCTTTGGTTTGTGACACCAGTTATGGATTCTAAAAGCAAGGACATGGATATTCTCTGTCGATTGTGACTGGCCAAATGCCTCTACCTGTATGCAATAGATGTATAGCTGAATATGCGTAATAAACGTACGAATAGCTCAGCAAGAAAACTCCAGTTAAAACAAATAGGGTATAACCAAATTCCCGGAACCATCTAATCTACAAAGGTATTTATTAAAACAAACATATCTCGTAGCAGTGCTGTCGTGCAATCAATCCATCTCTTCTAGACTCCCATCTCCGCTCGCATTATAGTCCTCGCTAACTAGTATTCCAACCATACACTCCGCAAGCATCCCATCCCAATTAACCCACGGATGAATCTCTGCAAAAAGCTTCTCGGAATTCTTCCCCGCGCCGCGAAGTAGCTCCCCCTTTCCTCCGGGATGGAACGGTAGGTACGGAGTTATATTGTAGACTTTACCCATGTATGATGTCCATGCGTCTCGCCCTTTCCTTCCATTGTGCGCCTTCAACATCGACGGTGTTACGCGGATGAGTGTCGGTGGAAGGTTATCCCCTCGTAGCTTGTGGTTGGGGTTGGAGGTTAATGCAGCCCAGTCGAGGGGTGAGTGGCCTGGCTCAAGTACTACTTGACGAGAGGGCTGTAGTTTGCCTTGGACATGCACCGGAGCAAGTGTGCTAGATGTGAGGCCTCGTGGTCGGGGGGCGCGGAGGGAGGAGGCTGCGGATGGCGGAGGACGGAGTGGGACATTTAAAGAAGGCCGTGGAGGAGGTAGCATGGAGCCAGAGTTGGGTATTGAGCTGGATGCAGTTTGCCTCTGACCTTTTAGTGTCGGTAGGGGTGGCGGGCCCATAAGGGTATTTCTAGTAGAATCATTCTTGGCTACGGGGGATGACGAAGGCTTAATAGGAGAATCCAATAACGGGGAGCAGTTCTGAGAGAGGGTCGTATTGTTGTTAGAATTTAACGAGATGTTTGGTCGTTCTTCGACAACAGCAGGGCTTTCTAAATTCAAGGTCGGTACGTCTATTAATGGGAGTTGAACCGGGGTCGCTTTTGGGGTCGAGTCATCTGATATAGGATCTGTTCGGTGCTCGTCAGCTTTAGATCCCTCTCTGTCCAATATAGATGTAGACTCAGGAGGTGATGGAGGTAGTGCCGTCGGTGATGAACGAATGTTCGTCACTGTATTGGGCGATGCGCCGCGTCTATTTCGAAGCCATTCGTGTAAATGTGCAAAATTCCAGGACCCCAGGGGATGTTTGAATAGTAAAAAGGAGACCGATACAACCAAGGCCCCCAGGCCTATCCAACCCATGGAAAAGTCGGTGCTATCGAGGAACGCGTACTCTCTGTTTGCGGGGTGGAGGGTAAAGATAGTGAAAGGTGCGTCGTGTTTGCGGCGGCAAGCATTTGGCAAAACGCGGTCATGTGTTGCCACGTGGTGTGGCCCGTGCGCGAGCCTATAAATAAATAAGATTTGTATAATTTTAAGCTTATTCTGTACCAGATACTCAATCTGGGTCCTGGGGGAAAGTGGTGGTTGACATCAAACATGCCCTGCACTGCTGAATTGTTGGGAAGCAAAGAAATTCTTCAGAGTATTGTAAACGGTTTGGCAAAAGAATTACTCCTCAAAAGCATTACTTGACATAGTTAAAGCCTCAAGTCCTTAATTCAACCCTCAATCGCTTTTCAAGCGACGATGTCCCCGTTCAGAAGTGGAGATTCTCGCTGCGCATGCGCCATTGCTGAATGGTTACCCTCTAGAGACGTTGTTCGATAGCTATAAGAGTTGTGACTGCCTTTACAAGATTTAGCTTTAGACGAATCGCCTGCACCTCCACCCTTTAAACTTGGGGTTCCAGAAAACAAGGTTCTCAGCCTGCAGTGTCTGGAATGTTGACAGCAGGAGATAAAGCTGGTGGGGTATCGCGTCTAATTAGCGGGCCTCCGATTGGATTTGGGGAATCTGAAGAACGGTAGACCATGTGGCCCCATAGGTTATCGACGGATACGATGCTGGATTCTGGCAGGCTCCCAAAGCGACATTGTATCCCCAAGGGCTTGAATAGCTGATCCGTAACTATTTCCTCCCAGGAGGCACCGTTGCCGTGAATTTCTCAATAATTCGGCCAAGAATAACGTAGTTCGTATTCCCATAGAAAAATTCACCCTGCACACCAGCGGGGTCTTTATTCAGAATGCGCTTGACCATAAGAAGCCGCCCGCCAAGCAGGGTGAATAATATCACTTTTCGAAAAACGCCGCGTCTGTCAGCAGGTCCTCTTGGATGCCCGTGCGAGGAGCGCCGAGTATGCCGATTGTGGTTTTCAGATGACCCCTTGACATAATAGGAGCAAGCTCGGGCAATGCTTGAGGCAGCGTGAGATCCCAGTTCAGACATCCCCTGTCAACAAGCATTTCTATGAGCGTTCCCGTCATGGCTTTTGTGTGTTCGAACCAAGGTGAAAGATGTCGGTTGTCTCGAGGTCAGTGTGGTCATCTACCTTCCGGACTCCAACGGCATCCTTTATTACCACGGAGTCACTCGATCTTGCGGCTGCCAGTCCGGGTATATTATATTGCTCCCTGATGAGTTCTAGGTCTGCTTGTCCTGGGTTTGGGCGAGGGTCCCAATGGCAAGGAAACATCCATGCAGGAGATTTAAACCTCCTCTCCATTGCAAATTGCACTATATTTCAGGAGTTTGAAATAACTATGTGTATATGCTGGAAAATTTCCCTTTAGGAAGGCCTGACAGAACCCTTTACAGTCAGCATAAAATCTTTACGTCAAGTAACTGGCGGCAATGCTCAAGTTCTGTCTCACGATATACCGACTAACTGCAGCTCGGTATCTTTATAGTGGTATTGTTAAGTGAAGAATTTGCAATGCGACTGCTCCCAATGTCAGAATATTTCGTAGTACATTTATAAGATGATTGGCAAGGTGTACCTTTCTTTCTTTCTTTCTTTCTTTCTTTCTTTTTTTTTTTTTTGTCCTTGATGGTGTATTTAATTACCAGGTGAGAAACCCACCGTCTAAACATTGAGGCAACGAGACATTCTTTGGAAACGGCAACGAGGCAGAGAGAATTATGGAAATATAGGGAGATATCTGCCGACCACATCCATGCCTGCGTTGGAAGCAAATGTGTTATTCATTCAAGCTTTTCAAAGGGCTGCGATCCGTCTCATTCCTGACGCCGTTGGTGGGGGATTCAATTCCCTTGGCTCCCAGACGGCAGATGAATACGAGCTCGCGCCACTTTCAGTAAGATTCCAAGCGGTGGAAACCTTGAAAGTAGGTATGCCTTGGGGTCACGTCAAGGGCACTTGGCACCAGAAGCGCACTCCTCCCGTCGCGATGTTTCCCCTTTTCTTGAATCGCGGCCACCATTTCGAGGGATATTTGTCCACGTTCTGTCTCTTGGCTGAAGAGAACTGAGCTGTTTGTTCAGTTGATCTTCATATGCAGCGACGATGTTTCCTCCTCTTTCGCTTGTTGCGCTGTTCCTCGCCATTGCAAGCACGCTTGTCTCGGGCGTTTCCTCCTCCAAACGTGCCGACACGTCAAAAATCATCTACCCCCAAAGCGGCGATGGGATAACCACCGGGATTGACCTCGACATTCGCTGGCAGTCTGCCTCTTCCGAAGACTCAGTCAGTATCGATCTTCGAAAAGGGCACCCGCATAATCTCACCATGGTTCATACAATTACCAGTGCGTTTTCCCCTTTCCCTTTGTTTGTCGGCCAATATATTGTCCTAACGCGCGCAGCTTTATCCGCCTGCTTTTGGCGAATTGGGGACAATTTTGCCCACTTTTTTTTTTTTTTTTTTTTTTTTTTTGGATCTTTACAACTTATATCTTTACTTATTTTAACTCGAACCCTACAGGTAATACTCCCAATAACGGCTCTTACTTCTGGCGAAGTCGTGATGACAAATTCCTTCGTGCTCTTTCTGCCAAAACGTTGCCGAATGCGCCCAGCAGCGGCTGTGATTATCTAATTGCCGTCCGCGAAGGGCAGCCTACTGTTTATTCTGATTATTTTACAATCTTGAATCTGAATGACGATGGCCTGAATCCGAACATTCCCTGTCCTGGTAAACCTCCTCCAAACAATGGGGGAGGTGGTGGAGGCGCTGGTAATGGTGGTGATGGGAATAGTGGTGGAGGTCCGGGAAGCCAAAACAACCCTGGTGACGGTGGTAAGCAAATCTGGCATGCTCACCTTCTTAGTATGCCCTGACTGACTAGTGAAAGGGTCCAAATCCAATGATGGACGAGGTGTCACCACCGATATGCTTGGAGGTGCAGTTGGTGGAGCGGCCGTCGGCCTCCTGGTGATCTTTGCAACTGTCCTTCTGTTTGGCCGACAAAGGAGCTGGTTTATCAATGAAGGGGAAATTCAGCGACTGGTCGAGCAGAAATTTTTGGAGCTTAAGCCAGTACTGGGTCCTATTCAGCCTCCCCCAGCGCCACATCTAGCTGGGCCTTACGAATTTAGTGGTGAGCCTCATGCTCACCAATTGCCGGCAACACCTGCAGAAAAATAAACCAGGCGGGGCGTTATCCACTGTGATTTTATGATCAGTCATTATCTTCTTGTTTATTATTGTTTTAGGTTGAGGCTACGTTGTTATTTCCGCGTGACGAGAAATCGGAGAAACATGCCGCATAATGCCGCATAATTATTATTGGACATCCCAAGAGCTGCAACTCCTTTGAAATAGAACTAGGAATATCGCAGTGGTGAACGTCTTGACGGGCTGCCACAGACCTCGCTGGAGGCGCAGGCCCAGATTGCCCAAGAACCGCCACCAAGAAAGCCTCGGCTCCCGCGAACGTTGAGGCTCAACCGTGAAATCCAGTAAGACGAGTCCGTCTACCGAAGTGGCTCAACGACAGAGAGAGTGATGGCCTCGACATTCCGGACATCTTCTGCCAACCAGCGCATCCATCGTTGGTGATGCCCGGAATCTTTCTATCCTTGTGCATGTGCCATTGGATGATTCGACCCAGCTTCAACCCTTGTCGAAACGCCAAACGAATGAGAGATGACATCCTTGTGCTCCATGAGATACTCATTCCCAATAATATGGCTTTTTGTGCCTAACCACATGTTTTCTTTTTAAGGCTCACCGCGCGGTGAGGCTCAATCGCACGATCGCCATGGGAGCAGCTCGTCAACAAGTGTTGGGCTTGAAGCTTAATAGAGCCCGCGATGCTCAGCAATGCATTTTTGTTGCTTCTCAGTAGTGGATTGACCATTTCCCAATGTTAGAACCATGTTCCCCCAGTTTTAATTTTTCAACTTTTGCGCATTTCGTGACATACCAAATATTTAGTAGGAGAGTGCTTGATCTTTGATACGCGGCGACGCTCCACGTCAAGCATCAGTGTGCCTTTTTGGTGTCACAGGGAGTCTTCCATTAACTTCATTCCCAAGCATCCCCTACCATGGCGTACCAGGACCCATACCAGCAACAGCAACAGCAACAGCAACAGCAACAGTCACCCTACACCAACGATGAATATGTCGCTGCGCGCGCCGTCATCTGCAACGAACTCTGCTACGGCTGCTCAACAAAACGGTTCGCTGTTGCGCTTAGAATTACTGTTTGCCTCTTGACCCTAGGCATCACTGAAGCCCTCCGCGGCCAGGACGGTTGGTGTGCGCAATGCCTGGATCATCCTGTCATTCCTCCGCGACGTAGCCCTTCACGTACCACGTACGTTAACCAACAACCAGCACAGCCTCCACCAATGGAGACGTCAATTCCAACGCCTAACCCAACGCTGCCAGCCGTGACACAACCTACTCTGCTGCAAGGTGGTCTATCGCAGCATTCGGTTCGGAAGCCATCGTATGGACAGCCGTTTATACCCCCCGACCTCTCCACTTATCCCTATCCCCAACAGCAACCCCAGCCTCAGCAAACCCAAGGTTTTACGGAGTCCCAACAGCAGCCAATGCCCCAATTCCAACCACCATCCCAACCGGATCAGCAAATCTATTCCGAGTTCCAACAGCAGCAAGAGACAGATCAGCAACAATACCAGCATAACCTTCAGCAGCAGCAACAACATCAGAACCACCAATCCCAAGAATATAATGAGTATCAGCAACAGCAGCCGTTACAAGTACCCCACTCACCCCACTCTCCTACTCCTCGGACAAACCAGCAACTCCCATGGCAGCAACAACTGCAACAACAGCCTCCCATTCGAATAAACTCGCCGCTCCATCAGCAAACTGTCCCTCAAAATGTGTCCCCCAACATGGCACCGAATACAACCCAGTACATGACCCCTAGCTCAGATCCCAATACTGCCCCAAATATCTCCTCGAATGGGGACCCTAGCATGAGTCCGAATATGGTGACACCAAACACGGCACCCAACATGCTTGCTAATATTCATCACCCAAGTAACGGTGTAGGTAGCACCGACCCCTATCAACTGCCCGTCGCAAATACGCCACCAGCCAGCCTGACGAATACCGTGCCCGGGCGAAAACCGGTTAACATTGTCATTGCGCCCCAGGCAGTGTATACACCACCACAACTACCACAGGAAGTACATATTCAGCCGGTTCTACATATTAAGCCAAAGGTGAAGCGGCGGGATTCTTCGTCGAGTAACTCAAGCTAGGGGAATCCTTTTTGGAGGGGGTAGAGGGCCGATAAATCGTACTATCTTCTTGGTTATTGGTGAATGGTTGGAAACTTTAGGGTGAGAATTTGGATTCGCCAGATGATATATGTTAATGACGAGTTGGGCTTTGGGTTTCTTATCTGGTTTTTGTACAAGGGACATATTAGCAATAATATCTTTTTTTATGTTTGGCTACAGAGGTGGGGGTATGTTCTCAATGTAATCTTTCGTAATTTCTGAATTATATGTCCAACAATATTGTGCATGTCACACATTTTAAACGCTTATCATATTCAAAGTCGATGCGCTAAACAGATGAGCCGGCGTTCATAGCATTATAGAACTATCTTAAACCGATCCCCTGCCCCATCATTCTCCACCCTCACAACCTTCCGTTCCCCATCCAACTTTTTCAGAACCAGAAGCACCCCATGCGAAGCCGGAACATTTAAATTCTCCGGGACATCATGATATATGACTTTCACCAGTTCCATTGGCGTCCAGCTTCGAAGTTCCTCACTCTTAACTGGCAGAGGTGGTCCGTCGCTCTCAGACATTAGCAAACCGAATGTTAACACTTGCAACACTTCGTCTTCCCGCTGCTGCCGGTGCTGGATGTACTCGGTTATTTTGGAATTTCCATCTTCTATCACGGCTCCATGGCCCAGATAGGCACGGGCGGAGCAAAAAATATTGCATCTTTTCGAGAGATGATAGGTATACTTCTAGATCTTCGAAGACGGGATGTGCCGTCGCCGAGGACGTCTGGGAGGGTAGGTAAATTGTGGCATGTGAGTTTAAATATTTATTGTATACCATAGCAAGTTAATTAAGATATAGTTAGAGAGAGGAAGGGGAGACGGGGGAATATAAGGAAATGGTTTGAAGCATACTGTCCCCCGTAAACAAGGCATCTTCCTCAGCAAGCATGAATACCATGTGATCGTTCGTATGGCCCGGGGTACTATATGCTCTGAAGGTTGCGCCCTCGACTTTAAATACCTACCCGCCCTCGATATTCAACTACCCGTCCACATCTGGTTGGTTCTTGTGTATCTTCACACGAGGGCAGATCTTCAGCAGATCTAGCACACCCCGAATGTGATCAGGGTGCCAGGGGTTAAGAGAGCCGTTTTTATAGTGGCCTTTTCACTTTCTAGTGTGGCCTTCAGGTTTTCGCTCCATATCGCACGGCCTTCACCTGTGTCTATGAGGAGACGTTCATGGCCTTGGCCGATGAGGTATGTGTTGGTTCCTGCGTTTAGTCAATAATGAATAGTAACGCAAACTGGCGTAGTTGGTTACCTTGGAGAGTAAACTGCAGCAAGCGGAGTTTTTTAGTTAATCAAAGCCCTAATGTCTCTTAGGATAGGATAAAGAAGCGAAGGAAATAACAAATAACCGTAGCACATTCATGATGCTGGTTTTGTTTATTTTGCCCCAATGACTTAGAGTGCAGTTTTTTGCAGAGTTGTTGTAGAAAGGTCTCTTGGACAGTGTTTCATGGAGCCCACATCGCAGGTGCCAGTTTCATAAGTTCAGTTGTGCAATGAATGACAATCAATATATTCATTGTTCATGTAGAATTCTCCAAAGCCATTGATTAGTTTTCAAAGGAATAAAATCCAAATAATGGGAGATTGAGGTAAGTGATATTATATGTTGACATGATTGTTCACTCATAGATACATATTTCAATGTCATACAACGTTGTCTGGCAGGTTACGAAGTACAAATGTCTAACAAAAGAGAGAAAAAAAAAAAAAAAAAGAAGGTAAGATGATCACCCTGTGAAGCTTTACACAGTTGGTTCTCAGGGGGACTAGGCTACTTCAAGCACCACTTGGATTTGCGACAAAATATCAATCAATCGCCCCTCCTTACTGCTGATTGTAATTCTGAGACTTCCCAAGCACTCAGTTTCCATGCCACGATAACGCACGAGGATTTTGATTTCATCGCTAAAACATGGAAAATGGCTGTCGCGATGGCATTATCGTCTGGGACGCCCTCCTCACGAGCAGGCTTGGACGGAAAACGAGCTAAAAGAAAGCTGGTAGGTATCGTGTCCACCAAGAAACCCGCCGAAACCCTGCACCTTGGGGAGATCATGCAGCAATCGATCTCGTCGCTCGACATATTCTGTCGATTTTCTTCCATTTCCCTCGGCTTGAAGAGCTGCAGTGGCAAGGGCAAAGGTGGGTGCGGACATGTTCGTGTACGGGCCTTTTGGTTTCTAAGCACCCTGCTGGTAGGCTGGCGCGGCGACGCAAAGGTGGTAGCGCCTTATAACAGTCCCGAGTAAAAGGTAACATTAATATTCATCAAAAACAACGTCCGCGTTGTCTCTATCGACTCTTGTCCGTTTCATTGCTAATCCAGAGCTAGCTCCACCATCGCCCACTCTCTTTCTCCCGGAAAGTGAAGGTTGAATCGAGGACTGGTCAAAATCAAATACCATGACACGCTGTCGCTCCTGATTCCAACCCATATTGGCCCGCCGCAAGTCATAGTGTACAAGACCTGCAGCACTTAACTCCGCGATAGATTGCTGCTTCTGAGCTTCAATGTCCACATCGGACTTGTAGTCCTCAGAGTGTAGACTATTGCCAGCCCATGACATGAGCATCATAGATGTGACCGTGGCAGTGCTGACAAGAGGATATGTCTGCAAAAGCTTGATATTGCCAAGGTGCACAGGTATTGTCACCCCTTGCAGTTTCCACAGATGGGCGTAAACATTTGCTTCATTTAAAATCGCCTTTTCATCCACAGCCTGTACACCTTTAGCGACAAAAGTGTAGCCATAGTTAGTTAGGGTAATCTTGAAAAGCACGCCCACTGCACCAAACATTCCCATTGTATCAAGGCATTTGCAGTTTTCGTCAAGATTGCGAGCAAGCTGGTTGTTGACAAGAATGCAGAGCTTTTCCTTCGAAATAAGATGGTTGTGAGAAGATGTTCCCCGTTGGTGAATGGAAAAGTTGGGGCAGAATTGATCAAGAGGGTGCCCCTGTGAAAGCCCAACAAGGCAGGCTTGTGTGCAATATGAAAGAGTTGGCTCTTGAGATCTGTGCTGAGTCCTTGATGACTGACGTCGCTGCGTTTCGGTACGATCTGTTGACTGCGAATGAGGTTGTTGATTGCGAGGTTGGCGTCCAGGTCGGTAACTGCCATCTTTTTTATCTTCAAGTTCCTCATCGCTACTGCTACTGGGTGCTGTTTCGGGACGCAGTGATCGACTTCTCAAGATCAGATTTTCAGGTAAGATCGGCCACTGATAGAGCTGGGATTTGGCATTTTCTATCCATTGGGGAGATTGCGGCGCTGATTCCAGTGATAACATCACGAATGTCGAGAGCTGAGAAACGGGGCCATATCGTACATCAAAGTCATTGAGAAGAGAGTCGTCGACGCAGTCTGGTACAGCGCTAACGTGATAATATAGGATCTGCGGGTCACTTTTCTCAAGCATCAAAAAAACTAGAGCCTGCCCAGATGTAACATATCCATATAGAAGGCCAGCATTAATCATATAGTCGAAAGTTTGACAGAGCACTTGCGCTACTACGCGCTCTTCTTTGTTTGTATCAACAAACGGTAAGGAGAGTCGCTTCAGTGTGTCGAAGAAGAGACTCTCGCCCGTAGACGAAAAGACGCGATCGAACGCGCTAGAGGGTAGCTTGTGTGCAGCCTTGTATTCTCCCACAAAGACTGTGAGCTCATCTCCACTGGGAAGTCCACGAATGCCCCAGCGATCCGGGACTCCTCTGACATCTCGCTCGACGGATCTCTTCTTGCTAGGAGGGACTGCGTCTTGGTTTTCAATCGCATCGGCATCTGTCAGGTCTGTAATATGCTTGCTGGAAAGACTGTAGGCATTATTCTGAAACAAGAAATTAGCCGTCCGTGTATCTTTGATCTGCCTTAGATATGCCTGAACCAGACGCTCGGCAGGTTTCTCCATAGAACTGCGAACAAATGGCCGAATATCTTGTTCGTCCTTTCTTGATCCTGGAGAAAGGTCTCGACTAACCCCCTGTACATCTGTCTTGGGGGGAAAAAGCGGATCATTGGAAAACACTTCAGTAAACTGATTGAACATGCGATTATGGTTTTTGTTAAAGTCAGCCCATTTGCGGAGTTGCTGCGGATAGTATTTCCCATGGACATTCGTAACAGAGCCCGAGGATGTTTTGGTAGGATCAGGCTCAACTGAAAAGGTAGAAAGCAGTTTTTCCTTGACATGCTGAAGATACACCAAGAACGCCGTTGGTGATTGATCTGCTTCCAGTCGCATCCTCCCACGCTCTTCTCTATCAGCTCGTTCCTTCTCTTGCGCTCTCTCACGCTCATTTCTATCAGCTCGTTCCTTCTCTTGCGCTCTCTCACGCTCATTTCTATCAGCTCGTTCCTTCTCTTGCGCTCTCTCACGCTTTTCTCTATCAGCTCGTTCCTTTTCTTGCGTTCTCTCATGCTCATTTCTATCAGCTCGTTCCTTCTCTTGCGCTCTCTCACGCTTTTCTCTATCAGCTCGTTCCTTTTCTTGCGTTCTCTCATGCTCATTTCTATCAGCTCGTACCTTTTCTTGCTCGCGTCCTCGCCTTTCTTCTTCAAGACGACGACGCAGGTCTTCAATTTCAGCAATGTGAGATGACATTCTCAGTTCAGCAACAGGAGGAGTCTCGGAAGGGTCTTGGATGTTGTGAAGCGTGAGTGTTGAAGGGTTCACGTCAGAAGTCGTTTGTGGCTAAAACGGTGGATAGGTAGGCTAGGCTGGTAGATATGCAGTTGCGAGTTGTTGGCAATGTGAGCAGTTGGTTGATTAAGACGGAATCCGGCAGCTAAGTCGGTCTTTGTTTTGGGGGGGAGACGGCGGTCGGGCCTCTGGCGGGATATTTAACCAACCCCTCTCAGCCAGGCAGAACCCAACGTTCCCTGGTCGGTGGTCGGACCCTTGTACGGCGTAGACAAATTCGATGTTATTAACCCCCCACAATAACCATTTAATTATCAAATTAATGAAGTTAAATTTATTAATATAGGTTAGGGATTTTTATACTACACCTATTCTTTTTGATAGGCGCACCCCTACTGAATTGTACTAGGCAGGCTCAGTGATTGAAATTCCATTGATCAAAATGTAAAAATCCGGAAATCTTACAGATCCGTATATGCACAGTATGAAATCAATAATCTTCTTGCAGCCCCCAGGCCCCTCCCCTCGCTCTGCATTAAATCTGTTGGAGGGATTGGATTGAGTGATTCGTCGTCCCCTCTTTACCACCATGGCGCTAGTGGGGATTGAGCTCTTGTGCCACAGTGGCCTAATAATAATAATAGGTTTATGAGCCAAGTACGGAGTACTCCGTACGCTGTACTGCGTAAGCAATAATAATTAATAATAATAGAGGGATCCTGCAAGCACCTTTCGCAGTAATGGCCTTCCTTATATGGTTTAACGTCACGTAAATTAGTGTTCAGTGGTGTTTTTAATTAACGCCACTATCACACAGGTGGATCTGTACATGCGATGTTTCTGCACGAATTCAGATGTAGTATGCGCATGTAATTAGTGCTGTACAGCCTTCCTTATTCAGTTAGTTATAATTTGCGGAGCGAAGCGAAGCAAATATATGATGAAAACCCTGGTCATTAAAAGTGGAGAATTTCCTTTTTGAGGTTCTTGGCATGAATACAGCCCACTGATTGGTGTAGAATTAAGCGAAGCGCAATCCCGTGACATTGCACAATCATATCTGTAGCATCCGCCCTAGTGGCGTTGCCATAGCGACCGCTCCGCCTACACGTGATCTCATATGTAATATATATATAGCTAGCTCTTCCTACATGAATACAATGGATTAATCATCTCATAATATCATCTACTGTTGAGAGTTTCAGAAGTTAATTGACTCTTCTATCAGCAGTGCTAGTAATGACTGAGCTCTTTTATCTCAGTAGTCTACATCTACTCTGTACAGATTCTTGAATAATAGATTACATATCTTATTAACTATCTACTCTGTACAGATTCTTGAATAGATAATATATCTAATTAATAATCTACTCTGTACAAATTCTTGAATAGATAATATATCTAATTAATTATCTCTCATAGATTCTCAAGAATGAATAATGTATTAAAAGTCTGTGTTCACTGCTTATAAAATCAGTCTCTTAAGTCTTGATTAATTTATTTCTTTATAATATTCTATTACTTCTACAGCTGTCTGTCTTCAATATCATACTTAGAGAACTTAGATATTGTAATCTTCTCTTATTATATCTTTTCTATTACTGATTATCTCTTTACACTGTGATTCAAAGATTGCTTAAGCCAGCGTACGATTACAGACGTACGCCGGCTTCTTATATATTGTAATATTGTATGCTAAATTAATTAGCAACTGCTATGGCCCCTTTACACTTGTACACATATACTAGTAGTTTGAAAGCAGCTGTGTTATTATCTGACAGTTGTATGTTCTTCTGAACTACATTCTCTCTCATCAGATTCAGTCATACTCATGTGATTATATTATACACTCTAGCTTTATACAGATTAGCTTGTCACTAGCATTTCACAATTATGTGATCTATTTCTGATTCAGCTAGTATTCTATGTACACTCTCACAAAGAAACTTTCACTATATTACATTACTTATTCACTAACTTTTCTCCCCCGGTGGCTGAATGGTTAATGCGGCCACCCGGTAGCGCCTTGGCGTGGGAAACCAAGGCGCGTGGGTTCGAAACCCGCAGGGGATACATTAAATCCGGAACTCAAGCACCTCAGGTTCCTAATAAATACAGAGGTGTACAAATCGCTCCAATAAATCGCTCTATGTTCCTGGGCTGGGAAGTTATTATTGCATGTATCTAATTGTCACTCCTTTGTATTTCCTATGTTCTTGTTATCTTAGCGTGGTCTCAACACCTGTATTTCCTCCTGTATAACCAACACTTGACCTGTATTTAACATCACGCAAGGACTCATCATAAGCTCCGCTTGCATATGAGTATAATGGAAGAATAATAATAATAATAATAATAATAATAACTAACTTTTCTCATTCTTCAATTATCTTCTTCATCATTCTCATTATTAAATGTCATTATTATTCAAGATTTCTATCTCTTCTTCTGTTCAACTCTTTCTATCTGTTCATCTATCATATTGTATATATTTCTGACAATGACTCTCTGTTCTCACAACAAGTGTCATTGTAGTGCTCATATCAGACAGTTTGTTAGCAGTAAGTGTAATATGTTATGAAATGTATATAATCAGAACTTGTTTATCTTCTAATAATTGTCAGAATGTACTACTATGAATAACACATCTTCTTTATCTTCTTATACACTCTTGACTGTTTCTTCTTCTCAGTGAGTTTCTGATTGTATTTTCTGACATAATTTTGCATGAACACAGATGCTGATATGTTTATTTTTATTTATATAGAATCTTCACATGTTGACAGATTCACATTCACTGATGATAGTGAACTTAATATTGAATTATTGATTGAGAATCTGAAAAATATAATAATGAAGAAATTGTCTGTGTTATATATAACTGAGTCTTCTGTATTTCTCTCTGTCTCTTCTGTTTCTTTCTCTGTCACTCTCTCTTAAACTTCTACATCTGTCTCTGTATCTGATTCTCTCACTTCTGCTACCTCTGTTTCTGTGACTCTCACTCTCACTACTTCTGCTTTCTCTGGTTTTATCATCTCTGCCTTTGTTATCAGCTCTCCCTGTTTCAAGAAGATGTTGTATAGACTTGATAAATTATATTTCTTAGTATATATACTTTCATTCTTCTTACTGATCTCTAGAACAATCTATTATACAAAGATAGTGTATAATATAACTATCTGAAGTTCAGTTGCAGATACTGATTATTATATTCATTTTAAATATTCATGATGAAATAATTATTCATTTATCTCAGAGAATCACTCTCTCTCTTAATAGTATTGAGATTATAAGTCTTTTTCTTTTTTATCTTTTTCTTTCTAACACTGATTTTTCTGTTCTTAGAAGAAATTGTTATGAGTTTTACTATATATGAAGTCATGATATTCACAGATATCAAGAAACTTTTTATAACTGTAAAGTTCAATATCACAGAGATATTCACTCTGATAAATTTTTTCAGAATGATAGATCTGTATCAGTCTATTCTCTAGTATCTGTCATTCAACTTTGTAATGCAGGCAAAAGATATTCATGTTTTCAAGAACAGAAATACAGATGTTATACTCTTTTACATCTGCAGACATAAGACTTATATACCTTGTCTAAGATATTGTTATAAGAATGAGCTGTTCACACACTGCATTCTGCTTTCTGTATTCTCTTATATCTCTCTCTCTCTTTCTGAGAAGCCTCATATGTGTTGTAATTACACATACAATTCTAAGATCAGCAGATGTTTGTTCAGTAATTGTTATCTCTACTTTTACAATTTTCATATACTAACAATGATTCTTAGTTACTCTGATATCAGAGACCATTCTCATTGAAGATAATAATATCACTGAGACTACTCTCTCTCATCTTCAAGCTTCTTCTATTGCTTTCTCTCTCTTTTCTGCAGAGAAGATTGTATGCATATCAGATTATAAGTGTTTAGTCTCAAGTGACTTCTGTCATTTATCTGATTCTGTGCCTCTCTCTTCTGTTTCTTCTGCCTCTATTCTCTCTTTCTTGACTCCTGGTTCTGCAGGTCTTACACTCTTCTTCAATTTCTCTATGCATACACATGTGTATTTCTATATTGACATTCCAGTCAATCTTGTGATAAATGACATTAATATCATACACAGAGTGGTAGAGAAATCAGAGACATGCACAGTGTTATTGTAAGAGCAGCTTGCAGCTCTCAAATCTCTTACAGATCTTGAGTTTTGAGATTTCCTTTGTTTTTGATGTTTTTCAGATGACATGATATTGAAAATAGATTAAACATGTGATGTATGAAAATGAATGAGATGTGTATGATAACATTTGTCTTTTATAGCTGATTCTTACAGTTGATGATTAATTCATCATTTCTTTTCTTACACTTTTTCTCTATCTGCTAGTCACTACTCTTATGCAATCTCTATATAATACAGTATTCAGTGACTAGGTTCAGCAGCTTTCAACTTTTTATAATTCTGTCTTACATATTATACTGTCTCTCTTCACCTGCTCAGATCACTACAGTGAATAGCTTATCAAAACTAATCTTGCTCAATCTCTGAGTGTCTTCAGAGATTGAGATGACTTGATCTTATATATTTATAAATGTTTCAGATAGTTTATTCTCTGTGATCTCTGTGATTAAACTAATGTAAACAGTTGAATTCAACTCTGAATTTCTTTTTCTTCTGTAATCTGACTCACATACAAGTCTGCTGCTCTGAGACTGCTCTTTATCATATTGCATCTGCTGTCTGTGATGTGTTATCATACAATCAGCTACAGTCTTATCACTTATTGAAGTATGATGTTCATCTGATTTCTTCATTGCTTCTCATTCTTTTCTTATAATTATGAAAAGATTGAAATAAGTGAGATCATCTGATTCATAAGTGTCTATGATTTCTCTTACTTTGTGAGACTTTTTAATTGTAAGTCTCTTCTTTTTCAATACTGATGATAGTGCTGTGAATGATTACAATTCACTCAGATCTTATATCTTTACTTTTATAAGTTATAAATCATTGATTAAGTTGTGTAAGATCTGTCCCTCTGATTCTTTCAATGCATACATTCTCAGAGAATATGATTTAAGTATTTTATATAACTCAAATCATCTAGGTTGAAACTTCTCAGAACTCTCATTGTATATAAGAACTCACATTCTTATCTTGAGACTCAATTTCTTAACTAGTGAGTCTTGTATTCTTTTTGATTGAATTGCTCAGTTCAGAAGTAACTTATTAGCTTTTACACATGTGTCGCTGATCTCTTTCAATCTTGGTTCTGTGTCTGCAACTGTTGCATTCACAACTGTTCTCTTTCTCAACTTTTTCAAAGCATTCTTCAGGATGCGCGGATGCAATTCATACAACAGGTAGAATGATAAATGCTTAGAGACTGCATGCTGTTGAATCCGCATGATCAATAGCACCTGCCCGAGATATTCATCTCATAGTCTCATAGGCTTGCTCACTAGATATTTCATCAGCATGTTGCTCAAGATTTCATTTAAGCATTTCATCTTTCTGTTCATTCATGAATAATATGATGTTATTCTATAATATCTTATCTGTAACTGACTCATGAAATGCCTCACTGCTTCTCTTACAAGATTCATATTATTATCAGTTAGAATCTCATACAGCATTTCATAGTTAATATAGATCTCATTATATAGAAACTTCACTATCATCTTCTCTATCATCTCTGAAACTGCTTTCACAACTGACCAGTCAGTAGCATAATCAATAGCAGTGATTATTCATCAATTTTCATTTAGTGTTTGCAGTAATATGTCTATGAGATTCACTTCTTATTATTTGAATAATTGTATTATACACTTCATCTGATGTTGCACTTCTTTGTGTTCTAATCCTTTC